TGGCAGATATTGTAGATCGTATAAGTACCCAGGTCCAAAGGTGAAGTTCATTTTCCATTGATGAAAATCTTTTAACCGGATGCAAAAAGTCTAGGAAAAGTAGTCCCTCATCAGTGGAACTATGGGCAACAACTCACGCTATGAAAGTGGGAGATAAAGTTTGGGCATATATGTCACAGAGACATATCCATAGAAGATGACAAAATAGAGTGAGCCAAGTTGGGGAGGAATTATAGAGTCATTTCCAAGGCTCCTGAACTGGACTTGGGTGTTCTGAGCCACTTACAAACCCACTGCTTTTTATATAATCAACAACAGAAAATCCTACCCACCGTTAGAAGCTGGAGAGAAATAGGATTGTGGGGCAATGATACTAAACCTTATTTCAAGAGTATGATTAATGTCCAGTAGTATGATTAATATCCAGTAGTATGATTAATATCCAGGAGTATGATTAATACCCTGGAGTATGATTAATATAGAGAGCAGTATTTCTAAAGAAAGAATTTAAGCTTATGGTTGAAGAGTTTTGACATAGTTTTACTTCCACTCATCCCTGACGGTTTGAAGATATAAATGAGCTTGAATATAATTATTGGTCACAACCATTCTTCAATAATATGTATGAATTCTTGTGTGCGTTGGGGTTGATCTTATGAGGTATGATTGAGTTTTCTGATTTTTTTTTTTTTGCTATTAAGCAAAAATTTGGTTCTGTTAAGAACCATTAAAATCAAGGTAGCATTCAATAGCAGGACTTAGCTTTTCTGAAGAACTTTCCCCCAAACTAGCTCTGATCTATCAGCAGCACTTTTGTTTAATTGGCTGTTATAAATAAGAGATTCCAAATTCCAGTGCTGTGAACGCCATTCATTGAAAGGCAATGATTGCAAAAGCATTTTCTAAGAACTTATAAACCCAAGCAAATGACTTGTGGCTGGTTTTGGGATGGGGGTGGGGAAGGCTATCCTAAAGGAAATATGCACCGACCAGCATCAATTTATTTGAGGCAATTATTCTTCATTAAAGGGAGTTGACAGAAAACACTTTGCAAGAGAAAGAAAACACACTTGAATTTAGTTTGAAAAAAAATCACCTTGCTGGGTCTCTCTAGTGGTGGGTTTGAGCGCAGCGCTGTGAAGCTGTCAGCAGCCTCTGGAGCGTGGGTTCCATCCCACGCTGACCAGGGAGCTACCCACATGGTGCAGCAGACCTTTCCTGTCTCACCTGCTGCTCCCCTCAGCAGTGTATTTCAGTCAGTCTGCCTGTTCTGCTCCTGCTCTGTCTCTGGTGAATCCTCTCACCCTCCTGCACCTCTGGCCTATACCCCAGTTCCTGTATGCATAAATAAATAAACAAATCTTTAAAAAAAAATCACCTTGCTGCTTATCTGCAAACACACCAAATAGCAGCCCTGCCAGTGCTGCATGAAGGCCTGGAGGTCAGGGTGGCCTTGGAATGGGAAGTCGAGGTGGCTTCGGTAGAGGCCCGAGGGTGGGAAGCGATCTTGATTCTCCTTGCCCATGAAGGAATCTGAGATCATTGACATTTCCTGGGGCTGTTCCTCAAGGACGAAGTTTTGAAAATTATGCCCATGCAAAAGCATTCCTGTGATGGCCAGCGGACCAAATTGCAGGCATTTTTGTCACCATCAGGATTTCAATGGACACGTTGGTCTGGGTGTTAAATGCTCCAAGGAGGAACCCACTGTCATCTGAGGGGCCATCATCCTGGCCCCTCGTCCCCGTGAGGCAAGGCTACTGGGGAAACAAGAGCGCCAAGCCCAACACTGTCCCTTGCAAGGTGGCCAGTCACTGTGGCTCTGTGCTGGTGCACCTCATCCCTGCCCCCAGGGACACTGGCATCATCTGAGCCCCTGTGCCCAAGAGGCTGCTGCTGATGCCCAGTGTTGATGACTCTTAACCCCTCAGCCAGGGGCTGCACCGCCACCCTGGGCTACTTCACCAAGGCGACCTTGGTTACCATCTCCAAGACCTTCGGCTATCTCACCCCCATGTCTGGAAAGAGACAGTGTTCACCAAGTTGCTGGATCAGGGATTCGCTGAACACCTGGTGAAGACCCACGAGGGTCTTGGTGGAGAGGACCCAGGCTCACCTTGGCCTCCACATAATTTTTATACCAGAAAATAAAGTGAATTACGCCTGTTTAAAAAAAAATCATCTTATTGAAAATTATGTCCTCATCAAAGAAGAGCAAAGTTTATCCATTGGTAAATTTTTCAAATTACATAATTTAACAATGTGGAGTTGTTTCTTTTAAATACTCATAATGGCTGGTGAAATCACAGTGTGGCACACATGTGCTATTGGCTGAAGTGTTTTCTCGTATTCTTTTATTTTTTTTAAGATTTATTTATTTTTATTCAAGAATGGGGGTACAGGCCAGATGCGCAGGAGGGTGAGAGGATTCACCGGAGACAGCGTGACGAAATAGAACAGGCAGACTGATGAAAAACACTGCTGAGGGGAGCAGGCCTCATATTCTTTTAAATGTTATTTTTTATGAGTAGTGATTTTAAAAAAACCTGTACTTTTATTAGCAAATATTAAGGCTGAGGGAAAATGATACTTAAAGAACACCTGGGATCACTATGTGCTACTTTTGCTTTACAAAACCTTTTCTCAGGGGCCTCCCTGGTGGCGCTAGGGGTTAAGACGCAAACCAAGAAGCTGTCCACATCCTCCTCAGCACTAGTTCGATCCCTGCCCCCGGCTGGCCAGGGAGCAAACTACATGGTGCAGCAGACCTCCCCTGACTGGCCTGCTGCTCCCCCAAAAACCTTTTCTTAATAGCAGGTCCTCTTTAAAGTATGTAGTATTGAGTCGAGTTCTAAAATGATTTTAATATTCCATTAAAGTTTGTCAAAAATAGATATGAGTTCTATTATTTAATGCAAAAAAGGTAGCTGGGAATACATGAGAATTGGCACATCAAAAATAGTTATAGTGACACAGTTGCTTATTGAGATATCATAGAAGTTGCATCAGGTGGCTCCTTAGTTTGCTAGAGCAAAGGAGACAGTTAAATTTATTTAATGCTGTTAGTCTCTTCTACAACTAAAGGCTTATGAACTTAGAAAGATACAGGTTTGGGCAAATCAGCAAGAGTCTACCTAAATGGCCTGGACATGTAGTGAATACCATCATTTTTAAGGCATGAAAAAGAAAACCTTCAATCAATGGGGAAAATCTATATGCTAGTATCTAAATTACAAAGAGGAAAAGTTACGGTCTAGAAAGAAATTCTCTGTTCAATAGTGAAGAGGAGGGCCTCCCCGGTGGCGCAGCGGTTGAGCGCTGGGTTGCGAAGCTGCCGGTGGCCTCTGTGGCGCTGGTTCGATCCCCGGCTGCTCCCCGGCCACCGGAGGAGGGTCCCACATGGTGCGCAGACCTCTCCTAACGCCCGCTGCTCCCCTCAGCAGTGTACTTCGCTCCTTCTGCCTGCTCTGCTCCCCGCTCTGGCTCTGGTGAATTCTCTCACCCTCCCGCGCTTCTGACTGTACCCAGTGCATGTATAAACAAAACAAACAAACAAATAAATAAATAAAACATGCCTCTATAAAAAAAAAATAGTGAAGAGGAAACAAACAATACATAAGTGATTATCACCATCAGATGAGCTTTAACCAGTAAGTTATAGCAAGAGCTTCACAAAATTTGCATTGCCTAGGAACTAGGAACTGCAAGTAACAGAGACAGTAAAATCGTCCCATGGCCATCACGCTCTATAGTACTGACTTACCAAATTGCTTTATTTTTCTCCCCATGTTCAATAAAAAAAGGATTGGTTGGAAAGGATTGTATGAGTTGGAAAGGATTGTGTGAATTGGAAAAATCATCTATGCACTTCTGGCCTCATTTACCTCAGTTGCAAAACAAAGTATTAAAATGAATGACTCTAATCTGTCTTTTGCTCCAGTAATTGGAGTCCCTTTATTTCATCTTTCTAAGTCTGGAGCTCCCAGTTCAAGTGAGGATCGACCCAAAAATCTGAGGTTCCCCAGGGACTCCATATTTATGGCCCAGATTTGGAAAAAGGAGAAACATCAGCTGGTGGTAAAAGACTCACTGAAGAAGGGACTTTTAAAAGCATAAGGCACCTCACACTCAACTTCAAACACAGATAAAACAGAGAAAGGTGACATTATTATAAGTGGCACTAGTTTCAAATATTTTGTCATTTGTTTTCAAGAAACAGTTTTTACAAAAGGTCAGATAAAAGACCGAACTTGCAAGCTGAGCATATGGATCTGAGGCATACAGCAGGGCAGGGGGCGGGAGAGGGGTTAAAACAGAGGAAGGAAGAGCACAAGGAAATATGGTGATGGATCATGGGGTGCTATGGTGGTCGGAGAACTTCCGGGGACTATACCTGAGGGGAGAAAGCAAATGCTGTCTAAAATTTAATGATGTAAGAAAATACATTTTAAAAAAAAGAATAGAGTTGCAAATTGAGTTCCCCAAAAAGATTTTGAAAAAACAGGAAACTTTTTAGATCACAAGAAAAGTTAAATGTTGAGAGGATATCATTCATTACTGAGAACAAATGATGCTTAACAGAGTGGACTGACTGACTGCCAGCCACAGCATCTCATTTACTTTTGCGCATAACCATAAAATAACAGTTTTTCCATATACTGCCTGTGTCAGCCATTAGCTTCCAACTAAACCAGGAGTCCTGTTTGAAAAATGAGTCTGAGAAGAACCATTTGAAGTTATATCAATTTTTTCTTGCACAATAGAATAATATGGCTTCTATTTGTCAAATACATCATTATGTCAGAGACAAAGAAAACGAAACAAATAAATTCTTACTCTACTACCAAATTTGTCTTGAATGAAGGAATGCAGGTGGTCATAAATAAGCATTTTACCAGCCTCATTTCAAAATCAATAGTGACATTTGAGATAAAGTCTAGGCTTATAAATACCCCTCCTTCCCACAATTCAACATGTTTCAAAAGGCTGCAGCAAATAAATGAAGCGCTCATCACTTTCCCTGGCCCTGAGCCCATGTCCTGTTATGAGATGAACGGGATTTTGCAGAGTTGAAAGAAAATTTGCAAAAGTATTAGAGAGCTCAGTTTTTCCTTTTAAATATGACTGGTCAGGACTTAATCAGTGGGTTCTTTGTCCAATCAGAGGTGATCTTCATGACCAAAGGCAGGCCTCAGACCAAGTGTTTTTCCTGCAGAAGGGCCTTGATACCTCTTAACCAGTATCTCTCACAGTAGGGAGCTGAAAGCATAGAACTCAAATGTGGCCATTCCAGTTGAGGCTACTTTCTCTTGCTTCCTAGAAAAAGGAACAAAAGGTAACTGATAAATGAGTGAATTTGTCATATGTGTAAATATGAATGATAAATAAAAGAATCCCTTTAAGACCTTTGGACCAAAGAACCCTCAATGTTTTTACCTAATCTTATTCTGATGTAGGTGAACTAACAGGTCGCTTAGAAATGCAACCCTAAAAAGTTGCTAAACCAAAAAGGACATGTTTATGCTTAATTCCATTCAAATCCTGACTGCTGCCCAACATACTCAATTGATAGAAATACTGTAAACAGTGAAACTTAACAGAAAAATTGTATATTTTATAATAACATGGATCTCAGCTTCTAAATGTAATCTAAAATCTCTCAAAAATGTTTTCCACTGAGGCTAGATGGGGCCAAATTTCAACTCTTCTTCAAAACAACACCACCAAAAAAAATTTTTTTTCATTTATTTTCAGTTGTGGAGGTTTTATTTTATTTATTTTTTTAACATGTTTTCTTCTTTTTTATTTTAACATTTATCATTTTTCACATTTTGTGGCAGTTTTAAAAATACGTGAAATTCTTTGACATAGCTCTGATGGAGAAATGTGCTCTACGGCCCCTCACCTTGAATCTGGGTGCTTGTGACTCATTTGTTACCAACAGGATGCAGAAGTGATTGTGTATAATATTGAAATCTGGATATGAAAAGATAACGCCTTTTCTGCCTTGTTCATTGGTCTACGTGTGCTTGCAGCTTCGAGCAGCCATGCAAGAATTCTCATTCTCATGTTAGCCAGAGAGGCCATTTGTAGGCACTTTGGCTGAGAGTGCAGTGAGATCCCAGCAAATAATTGAAAATTTACATTTACAATTCATACATGTAAGCCATATTGAACACAATCCCGTGAAGGGTGCACAGAGGATTGCTTGCCTGCCTGAGTATTAAAGGCCTCCCTAATATACACATGGAACCCCTTGTCAAAGGTTGGGAGACTTGTTTGGGTTTAGGCATGTAAGGAAAGCTCTGTCTAATTAGCTTATTTCTGTCCAATTAGCTGATCACCAAGCTCTTCAGAGACTTCAGGGGTCACACATTACAGCGAACCTAACTTTACTTCAGCAAAGTTACTTTAGCAAAGTTATTAAATAAGCAGAAGTAACGACAATAAAAGCAACAAGGCAAGTTCTGGCTAAAGAGTAGAATCTGAGTTCCAGAGTTGCCACCTTGTATTACTGAAATGTCCAGTTGGCAAGGAAGAAATACAAGATGCAGAAACAAGTAGGCTCTATGTACAAGAAAAAAAAAATCAAATTTGTTTTTGAAGAAACTCATACCTTTATCATTGTAGACAAATATTTACATAAGCCATTTTAAATTTGTCCATGGAAGTAAAAAGCAAGTGGAAGGATTCACTCTTTCAAATTAGCATAGATACACACATACCACTGGAATAGAACTGAAGTTCAGAAATCCCTTATTTATGGTCAACAGATTATTGTCCCGGATATCTAGATATTTCGCGTGAGAAAAAAATAGCCTTTTCAACTATGGCTTGGGGACAGCTGGATATCCAAACACAGAAGAACGAAGTGTGACTCTTACCTCACATGAAAAATTTATTCAAGATAGAAAAAGACCTAGTTGCAAGAACTAGAACTATAAGACCTTAGGAAGAAAATGACATAAATCTCCCTGTCCCCATAATAAGGCAATATTTTCTTAAATTATAATACCTAAAGTACCCAAAGAAAGAAAAAAATAAGATAAATTAGATTTGATCAAAATTAAAACTTCTTGCTTATCACAGTTAAATTATTGCCAGACTATTTTATGGAGGCTCGCATTTCAATTTGTTAGGGAGAAACTATTTTAGTATTGCCTTTAATTTTCTGGGGATGGTCATGTTCATGACTTCTCAAGCATGATCCTTCTGCAGTTTCAGTGGAAATTCCAAGGTGTTTAAGGAGCCTGTCAGGAATCTAGGCCCAGCAGAACAAGGCTGCAACCAGCCCAAGGTCTCTGCTAAGGTAGCTATTGGTCAGAGTTGTGGTCTCATCTCAAAGTTCAACTTTTTTTCTTTTCCAAGCTCACTACATAATTTTTTTTTAAATAATACTTTTTTAAGACTTGTTATTGCTTCTTTATTTTTTTAAGTAATTTATTTTTATTTTTTGTGTAGAAGAACTGGGGTGTAGACCAGAGGTTCAGGGGGTGAGAGGATTCACCAGAGACAGAGTAGGGAGCAGAATAGGTAGATTTACTGAAATACACTGCAGAGGGGAGCAGCCAACACATAGGAGAGGTCTGCTGCACCGTATGTGGGTTAGTTCCTTGGTGAAGAACAAACTCAGGCCCTAGAGTTCGTAGCGCTGAGACTTACCCTTAGGCCATCAGGGAGGCCCTTCACTACATGGTTATTGTCAGAGCTTGGTTTCGTGCTGCATAGGTAGCTCTGCATTGGGCTGTCCAATGTCATGGCAACTGGCTTCCTTGAGATCAGCATTCCAAGGGAAAATGAGTGAGAAGTTGAGACCAACACAGAATCTCAGTCTTTTTATTACTTTATTTTAGAAATGACATCCCATTGTTTCTGCCATATTCTATTTTACAACTGAGTCAATAAATCAGGCCATACTTAAGAGGATTATACAAAGGAAAAAATACCAGGACATGATAATCTACAAGCTTGCCTATCACACCATTTAAGTTTTTGGAATTAATAAAGGACAGGGTGAGTTTGTCACTGGATTCCCATTTTACTTTGTCCCAGACATCCTTAAAATAATCTTATCAGTTTGGCACAACTATTTTCAGAGAAGAGACAACCAGGATGCCGAGAGTTCAAGTGACTTGCCAGCTGAAATCACAACCTTGATCTTCTAAATTCTTTATTGTATAATCAAAGGGTGGCACATTCAGAAGGCAACTCCCATTCCTTTTTCAGGTCTCACTTTAATCATCATTTGCTCCAGTAAGTTTCCTCAGTTCTCCAAGATAAATTTGGTACACACATTAGGTACTATTTAGGTCTCTGTTGTTGCCTTATTACAGTACTTAGTATCCTGTATTGTAACTACAATTATACTTGTCTGTGTAATAACTATAATACAAGTCCCCCAGGGCAGAAATGGTGCCTTACTCATGGTTGCATGTCTATTATTTTCTTAGCAATACACCGAGAAGTACCTACCTTGGAGTCAGAAATATTAATCTCAGAATGCTCCAAGGACAATTTTTATATTTTTTAATGAAAATAAACACAATATTGATATTTAATGAGAAAAGAATGGCCAATAATAGGTATTAAAAAGAAGGGAGGAAAATTTAAAAAAAATAAAAGACAGTTCTGTCCTTTGTAACACACCCACTGTCAGGTTTGCTCACTCACCAGCCTATGGATTATATGGCCTTAAAATATAACTTCAAAATGAAATGGAAATAAGAATGTTAAGGACAGGATACATGGTAGCAGGGCAGTGAACCAATGCATTGTGGGTGGTCCTCAGCTCTGGGCCCTCCAGCTGGGCAATTTGAGAAGCCTTGGCAGACATTGTCTGACATACCAGGAAGGTCACTTTTGACAGTCAGTAGTTTAGATTCTTCAGGATTGCCAGGGAAGATTGCAAAAAAGATTGCAGATTTTTTTTTTTTTTTTTGAATGACAACATTTCAGCATTTTTTCTGAGCATTGAGGATACTGTTGCTGGGGCTTTTGGAGGATGGATTATTTTCTTGGCAGGTTGTGTGGCCTCCACAGGGCTCATTAGGCTTTCTGTTGGGAAGATCTAAAATGCACAGTTGAATACTGTCATCAAAGGAGAAGTGGTTTGGGTCTAATTCCTAATGGAGCTGCAGACTACAGCTCCTTTTTGATTTCTGAATTCCAAAGTAAGCCTTTTATAGCTGTCATATTATTGACTGCGCATTCCAGACCCATGATTCCTTTTCATTTTAAATCTTTTATGCTCAGAATGTCATTTTGATGGTTAGTATATGTGAGCAGATTTTGCACCCTTGGATATTTAATAATATCAACATTCCAGTCTAACCTCTGTGTGTGTCTCTGTGTTTCTCACAACAGAGCTCTTTGCAAGACTTGATTTCTCCAGATTAAGTCATACATCAAACTCAATTGTTTTTTCTCTTATTGTAACCACAAAGTTGCTGTATCTTCCCTTTGATCCCTGATACAGAAATTTTAATGTGTGATGTTCTCTTGGAATTATGGGATGGGGAGGGGGCAACTTATCATTTCTGGTATGAAGGTGATTTGAAAACATTCTTGAGAATGAAAGTTCAGGACAGTCTCATGCTCTGGATGACGACTAGATGATACTATCGGATAAAAACAGAAGACAAAAATGACAAGGTCGTTGAACAGGTAAAGCTTTCATTTAATTCCTATTAATCATTATTTCACAATGTTTTAGAAAAATATAATTTTGAGAGTAAATAGTTTTATTCTATTCATAAAAATAGCATACATCCATTTTTAATTTTTCTGTTGCAAATAAATTATGCATTGAACAGCACATGGTATGAATTCTAGGTTGACAAGCACAAAATATCATTATGTATATCCATGTCACAAGCTAATCATGAGGTCTGGAACGTTGACATTTTAAAGTGTACACTTTTAAGTGAAAAATGTGGTGTAGGGAAGAATTTTAAAATAAATTAAATTTAAAATATTATTCTCTACTTAATTGGATTTATAGAACTGGAGTGTGATTATTTCTTCTTCCTTTTCATTAATAATTATTTCTATTTTAGTCCTTTCCATTCTAGTACTATATTTGAATATCTGTAATCTACAGTTTATTTTTGTTTAGAATTGTCAACATGTACTTGCCTGAATTTAATAGCTTGTCATAACATAAATGGAAAATGTTTGTTTTTAAATAAAAAGATAAAGGTATATGAACTGAATGTCTATACTAAAGACACAAAATACTGTACCATTTCTGAAGACATCATATCTTTTCTCATAAAGTAATCCCAGACTATGTGTTAACATTTTTTTTCCTATAGTGG